CCTATGAAGCGGTATATAAGTCTAACTGCTATTGCTATTGCTATTGTATTATTAAAATTATAGTACAAAAGAGAAGAAATTGTGTCATTATAGTTTGTTTACTTCTATGGGTTTTTTTTTCTGAGTTAGGATGGATAAATTGGAAAGTTAACTTTCATACTGCGGAAGAAATGCCCTTTTGCTTTTGTGAAATCCCACCAGAAATAAATATGAATAGAATTTGTGATGAATGGAATTAGTTTTGAGATAAAAGATAATTAATAGTTTATTTTTAAAAAAATGAAATAGGAAAATAATCTCAAATTATATTTCAAATGTGAATGAAATTGGATTGATTTTTGCATATCCTTTTGTTTTGTGCCCTTTAAAAAAAATATCTTTTAATCAGGGGCAGATTTCTTTTGCACCTGCTCCTTCTGTGTGGCATGATACATAATCTGCAAATCCTGAAAATTGTAGTATCAAATCTCTACACCAACTGTGAAGGAGTACTATTATCAAATCCTTGCTGTTAGACACTTCCTCTTATTCTCCCAGGAGACAATTCTCTTCTCAATTTATCACTCTCCCTCTTTCAGGTTTGAACTGTGACCTAAAATCTTTTTTTATTATAGCTGCTGCATAATGCTCTTGATGGTGACTCATTTAAAGTAGGTATTGTCAGCTACAAACCCACAAGTGGGTCAGTGCTCTAGTTGTATCAGGATTATATTGGAGTTGGATATAAGTAATGAGCATGCTAGCTCCCTCCCCCCCCTGCCAACTCTGAAAGCGGTATGGTTGCAAAAATGCATAAATATTTGCCTGTTATCCATGAAACTATACTACCTGTTACTAAATGTGCTGTGACATTTGTTATATTTTTAGGGTTTCCAAATCGGCCAAAGTCATTAAAAGTATTTATCAATCCAACTAGCCATAAAAAAGAAGCTACTCGGATTTATTATGAGCAAGTTGCTCCCCTCTTCAAACTGGCTGACATCATGACTGACGTTACTGGTAAGATGCTTTAGTTTAGAGACTTCGGTTTAATCCATTTGTACATTGCATGACTCACTAATACTGGGGATATTTGTGTTTCAGTGTACAGGCTGTGACAAAGTATGTCCTACTGAATTTTCTAGGGCTTATTTGGGGAGAGGAAATGATAATACCGACAGTAGGAAAGCAGCCTGTCAATCCAGAGGTACAAGTTCGTCGCCCTATTGAACAGAGCACATTGCTTATCAGAGATGGGGCTGGTGTTTTATAAAAGTCCCTTTGCCTGATTTTGTTTTAAATATTTTCATTTTGGAAATATGATGTTGGCTTTCAATATTTATTGAACATTAGACAAGTCATGTTCCTTTGGGTCATCAGAGATATTTCCATACATAAACAGAGAAACAGAGTGACCACAGATGGGTAAAAAAGCAGTGGGAGTGGAAGCAACTTCTGACTTCCTGCCAGCTTCCCCATTGAAGTATCATGTAGGAAGCTGGCGGACAGCATTGGAAATGTTCCATTCCTGCCTCCCTCCGGGGGCAGTTGGTTGGATGGCATATATTGGGAATGGTGTGAAGGGATTCCTTTCTCCCTCTTCCTCCNTTCTAGGTTGCTTCTCTCCTTGATTAGTTTCCATCTGTTGCTTCTTCTCCTGCCTTTGGGTGCTCTGGAGAATAGTTGAGCCCCTCCTCTTTGTGGCCTGAGATATTGGAAGGACTGCCACAAAGAAGAGGGGGGCAGGTCGACCTATTCGAACCAGTTGAGAACTCTGGATTGATGGGTTCAACGGTGCAGAGGTTGGTTTTCTTGTCTGTCCAATCGTTCACAGCTGGCTTTTTGTCTTCTCCTACAGTATGACTACAGCTTCCGGACGGAGCAGAGTGCTGCGGCTAGACTGCCTCCCAGCCCCACAAGATGCCAGCAGTAGCCACCCTCCTGAAGTCTCTCAACTCCTTGGAGTATAACGCACACATGTACTACTGAGAAGCGAAAGGATTTTTCGCCCTCCTCCTCTTCCACCTTCTCCTCCTTTTCCTCCTCCTCCTTTTCCTCCTCCTCCTCCTGCTTTGTAACCTTTCCACCCAACCCTTCCCATCCCTGACAAGCAGTATTAATGGAGGCCCTTCCAGCAAAAGACACACAAAGCCTTGATTTTGTTTTTGCGTTCTTCCCCCTCTGCATCGCTTCCCTCCCTCTTCCTAAATTCAAGATAACTGGATAGCATTTCTTTCCCTCTTTTTTTGTTTTTTTTTACATCGACTTGTCCTTGCTGGTTTGCAAATCTTGACTCAGATCCTTGAGTCCCTTTGGACAAACAGTCCTAAACCTGAAAGATTCCCCCGGGATCATCCAACCTTCAGGACTGAAGAGACCTAGATTTCCGTGGGGTAGAGGGACTTCTGTCTGTCCACGTTTATTTATTGTGGGTTTTGTGGGTGAGGTTTGATCCTTGATTCCCTCTGAAGAGCTGCCCCAACTCAGCTGACATGTCTTCTACTAAACTCTGGTCGACTTTTTCTTAAACCAGAAGCATATCTTTTTTCTTTTTTAAAAAAAGCTGTCATCTGGCTTTATCTGGCGTTCCTCAGCTGACCAGAGCTATGAAGATCCATCCTGTATCTCACCACCGGTGTCACTTTTCTTCAGCACTGGTTTCTAAAGGAGTTTCGGGTTGCTTCTACTACGCAACGCACGCCATCCTCTGCGGTTTTGGAAGCCGCTTAAAATGTATTGTCTGAACTGGACGTCCTGTTTTGGGGAAATTCTCTTCCCCGGGTTGATGATCAAAGCCATCTTTTCCATCAATGGACAACTTCATTTCTGAGCCTTTAAAAAAACAACAACAACACGTGATTTATATCTGATCGTTTTTGCAAAACAAGAGTTTAGTCTGGCCTGGGAAGATCTGAGGAATCTCCCGGTGGCTTTATGCACAAGCTTTGAATTCTTCAATTCAGCAACCTGTCCGTCTAATTGGGACGCTTAAGGTGAAACCGAGCACAATGTGTTTTCTTCTGAAGAAGTTGGAAAAAGAAACCCAAGACATTGATTCATAATGAGGCCAGTCTAAGTTCCAGCCCCATGAACTCCAAATATACACCCTGATGCAACTAGTCCACTGAAGCTTAAATTATTTGGGGAAACCTGTGTGAACGTCCATGCTGCACTTTTTTTTCTGTGTGTGATGTTGGTGCCAGAGAACAAATGCTATGTTACACAGACAAAAAAAGAGAGAGAACAGATCCTTCCTTCCCCTTTTCAATGATTTCTTCGATTAAAAAACAGCAACCACAGGTGGAAAAGCTTCCAGCATGTCACATGTAAATAAATACTAATTCTCTAATGGTATTAAAGATGGAATTGCCCTGGTTATGGACCCCCAACTGCTCCTGGGGTTAGTTTCACTTATTCTGGAGTATTTTGATCATAGCAAAGAGGGGTAGATGCACTGCATAAAATGCATATGCCTTCCCAATCCTTCTTCCGGAAGTTTTATCAATTGCATTTTTCAAGAAAAAGCTAACCTAGGTTTCTGGGAAATTGGAACTGCAGCCGTCCAACCTTTTTACCTTTCTCTTAGCAATTTATGCCTTGATTTCTGTACCATCTTTTTTTGGTTTTGCCAAAGCTTTTTCAGTTCTTACAGTCCGTTGCCAACCACCAAACTGCCTTTCTCTGCCCCAGAGGAAATCCATGAAGGCATTAAATAGTTAAGAGGTCCCAGCAGTGAAGACTAATGTTTTAGGCAGTTCCTGGAGGTATTTTGGAAACCGATAAGGTAAAACTGAGGCTGTGATTTGATCTCGATTAAGTCTTGAAGTGAGGCATTAGGAAACCATCTCAAGAAAAAGAGATCTGAGATTAAAACAGAGTTTAAAAGTATTTTCCGGTTAACAGAGTGGAAAGACAGCTAAATTTGATGACCGGAGAATGTGAATTGAATCTGGTTGAGGAATGCAACCAAATTTGAAAAGTCAGGCAAAATGAAATTGGTTTGGAAAGCCATTCTTATTTATTTTATAATCTAGATTGTTAAAATGTCTTCTCATCTTTGGATCCTGGAAGGTGTGTGGAAGCACTTCAGTCCTACATAGGTGTTTTTTTTTAATCCCCTCAAGCAGAACTTCTTAATTTCTGCTTCCTTCTGTGGCCTTCAAAACTTGGGAAGGAGTTCCCAGCAAGAACCTGTGTTCGGAGCAATGCAGAAGTCCCACCTCTGCATCACGTCTTCTCAACAGCTGTGTGAAGAAGGGATCTTGGCCTAGTTCATTTTGGCTGAATTATTCTGTCTCGCTAGATGGTTTCCTTCCATAAGGAGGAGGCCATAAGGTAGCAAAGAGATTTCCTTGCTTCCAATTTTGGAGAAATACTGCTGGGCAAATTGAAACGAATCTGAATTCATCCTCTCTCTGACTTTGGATTCAAAGCAATGCCCTGTGTGCTTAGAAAAGGTAGAAAGGGGAGGAAGTCACCATCAGCCCATTGCATGGATTCCCCAAGAGGAAAATTGCTTCCTGTAAGGGGGGAAAAAAATTAACCCAACCAATGCACCAGGACGTAAAAGGAACCAAAATGGCACCTTCTATTTTGCAATGCTCTGAAGAACCAACGAAGCAGGTTTGAACTCAAGGTTACAATTGCACCAGAATTGCCCCTCAGGCAGAAGGGAGTCCTTGTTTGCAATTGGTACCTTTCAATATTCTGGTGCAGGGTTTGAATTCTTTCCTCCCTCCCTCCCTCCCCTTAATCTGGTGAGAAGACAAACAAAGCATCTTCTGTCAAATTCTGATGAAGTTCTAACATTCCTGTCCACTTCCATCCAACCATTCTTGGGATGGCTGCTTCTCCTCCCCTACTCATCCGATGGATAGAATGCAATTTAGCTGTTTCTTCTTTCTTTTTTACAGAGGAATGCTTACTACCAGGGTTATTATCACTGCATCCTCTTTAAAAATATAAATATAGGCTATTCTCCTGACGTTATCATGAAGCTCATGTTCTTCTGTAACACCAGCCATTTTTAACATGGTATTCAGCCTCCCAACCATACTGACAGATCAGTGTTTATTTCTGTATTTGGGATGTATGCGTATAATGCCAGTCTGTAGAATTTTACGTTGTACCCACCCCTTTCCCATATATTTCTCTCTAGATAATGCAGATACGAGCCTCTCATTCCCTGGAGAGATTGGTAGCCTCAGACAAGTGAAATCAGCTTCAAAAGAAAGGCTTTTGTTCCCCTACCTCCACCCTATGAAAGGAAGGCGAAGTTTTTACACAGCATCCTTGCTTCTGCTCACAGTCAGAAATGGTGGAAGGCAGGAAGCAGAATTGGTAGGTGTCCAGTTAACTAGGCCGAATTTGATTCTGAGTCCAGAGGGAAAAAGGGGGATTAGAGAACTCATCCTCCTTCTCTTCACACTGGAAAAATTACATGTAAATGAATCTCTCTTTTTAATTCCCCCAATGTTGGTCTTTTAAAATCAACAGTCATCGGGAGTTTCTGTTGCTCTTAACAGCATCTTTGATGGATTTTGTTGACTTTCCATGTTAGTCTCTGTTGGACCAGCTCTCCTTGTCCTTCCTTAGCAGTTGGCAAGAGTTGATGGCTCATGAAGAGTTTGAAGGCCATCAATGAGTGGCAAGAAACAGATTCACTTCTCCTTCCTAATAGAGGCTGGTGGTGTGGTGTTGCTTTGACAACCCAACACTGAAGAGCTTTTCTTTCAAGCAGGGTAATCTTTCCTGGCATAGACTTTGTCCATGACAGAGCAGTTGTGCATCACATGTAACAGTTGCAGGCGTAGGGATTTCTTTTGTTGACTCCTCCACACAATCCCATCGTTATCAATGGATGCAACTTGTATAACTGTGTTATTCCATTCATCACCACTGAGGGGAGACAGAGATCTTTCCTTGGAAACCTGATTGTCCATTTGTGCAGCTTTTGTCTGGGTTTTATATTCACACAGATGGAATATTTGTGTGAACACACACACACAAACACACACACAC